CTGCCTATCTTGAAAATGTAATATCCACAGCCTTTTTTTGGGGGGAGTAATTATAGATCATTCATTCCAATTTTATTTTTATTCTTTTTAATTTTTTTTATAATTTTATTATTTTTACAGATAGCATTTATTTATTTATTTTTAAATGTTTTTCATTTATTTCTAGGAGAGAGAGAGAGACAGTGTGAGCAAGGGAGGGTCAGAGAGAGAGGGAGTCACAGACTGAAACAGGCTCCAGGCTCTGAGCTGGCAGTCAGCACAGAGCCCGACGCGGGGCTCGAATCCACGAACCGCGAGATCATGACCTGAGCGAAAGTCGGACGCTTAACCGACTAAGCCACTCAGGAGCCCCTCATTCCAATTTTAATATGTTCTCTTTTACTTGTGACTTTATATATTTGAGTCGTCTCCCATTTTTTTAAAAAAAAGATTTTATTTTTAAGTAATCTCTACACCCAACATGGGGCTCAAACTCATAACCCTGAAATCAAGAGTCACATGCTTTAGGGACGCCTGAGTGGCTTAGTCGATTAAGCGTCCAACTCTTGATTTCAGCTCGGGTCATGATCTCAGGGTTCGTGAGATTGAGCCCTGCATTGGGCTCTGCAGTAACAGTGTGGAGCTTGCTTGAGGTTCTCTCCCTCCCTCTCTGCCCCTCCCCTGCTTGTTTTCTCTCTCTCTTTCTCTCTCTCTCTCTCAAAATAAATAGACATTTAAAAAAAAAAGAGTCACATGTTCTACCGACTGAGTCAGCTAGGCACCCCTCGTATTTTCTTAGTCTAGCTAAAGGTTTATCAATTTTATTTATCTTTTTTTTTTTTTTAAAAAAAAAAAACAGCTCTCGGGCGCCTGGGTGGCTTAGTCGGTTAAGTGTCCGACTTTCGCTTAGGTCATGATCTCGCGGTTCGTGGGTTCGAGCCCCGCGTCGGGCTCTGTGCTGACTGTCAGCTCAGAGCCTGGAGCCTGTTTCTGAGTCTGTGTCTCCCTCTCTCTCTGACCCTCCCCTGCTCACGCTGTCTCCCTCTCTCCTAGAAATAAATAAAAATATTAAAAAAATAATAATAAAAACAAAAATAAAAACAGCTCTCAGTTTTGTTAATCATTTTTGTTTTTCTGCTATTTCATTTATTTCTGCTCTGGCCCTTGTTGTTTTCATAATCTTTTTATTTAAGAAAATGAAATGAACTTGTGATGTTGAGTTTTAATCTGGAGAAAACGAATCAGATGATCACTCAGGATAAAGAGCTTGTGATGGGTCATGTTGTGACCACTGGTTTACGGAGAGGTGGAAACTGCGTTGATAAGGTCACGTAACGAGTGGAGAAATTGAACCCGATGTAACCATTACACTATACCACCACCTCCTGGTCTGATCTCCAGAAATATTCTTTGGAAGTCAGGATTTTGTCTTTCTTAGCCAAAGCATGAGCCTGATAAGATATCAGAACTCCAGAAAAAGTCTCTATGTTTCCCTGGAGTTATCATGACTTTGATCATCTTTTTGTCCAAAGAGATTATGCAAATAGTCGACCACATAAAAAAAAGAAAAAGTTTTACTCTCATGGCTCAAACTTGGCTACATACTGGTGTCACTGGATGAAAGTCTAAAAATACTGACCCTGAACTCCTTCCCCCGAGACTCGGAAGTAATTGGTTTGCAGTGTGTCCTAGACACCAGGTTTCTGAGTTCCTCAGTGTTGAGGGCCACTGATCCACTTTGATGCTTTTCAAACTTTTATCTGGCACCCAGGGGTTTTGTTAAGACGCAGATGCTGATTCGGGGCTCCTGTCGGTGAAGTGTCCGACTTTGGCTCAGGTCATGATCTCACAGTGTGTGAGTTCGAGCCCTGTGTTAGTTTCTGTGCTGACAGCTCAGAGCTAAGGATTCTGTGTCTCCCTCTCTCTCTGCCCCTCCCCGGCTCGTGCTTTGTCTCGCTCTCCCTCTCTCTTAAAAATACTTAAACATTAAAAGAAAAAGATGCAGATGTTGTATCAGTAGGCATTGAGTGGGACCCAAGAACGTACATTTTTAAAAGTTAATGTCTTTTGGGGCGCCTGGGTGGCTTAGTCGGGTAAGCGTCCGACTTTCGCTTAGGTCATGATCTCGCGGTTCGTGGGTTCAAGCCCCGCGTCGGGCTGTGTGCTGACTGCCAGCTCAGAGCCTGGAGCCTGTTTCAGAGTCTGTGTCTCCCTCTCTCTCTGACCCTCCCCTGTTCATGCTATCTCTCTCTCTCCTAGAAATAAATAAAAATTAAAAAAAAAAAAGTTAATGTCTTTTTTATTTATTTTTTTGAGAGAGAGAGAGACAAACAGCTGTCAGCACAGAGCCCGACGTGGAGCTGGAACCTACGAACCATGAGATCATGACCTGAGCCCAAGTCAGATGCTTAACTGACTGAGTCACCCAGGCGCCCGAAGAATCTGCATTTCTAACAAGCTCCTGTGTGTTACTACTGCTGTTAATTCACCATTTTAGTGTCATGGAGTCTATGCAAGGTGACAAAATGATTTTCCTCTAACCTAAGTAGAGGGGATGGGCAGGAAGCAAGTTGCAGTGTGAAAACTCAGCTAAAACCAACAAAAGGGGTAGGGGAACTCGTGAGGGAAACAGACTGTCAGAGAGGACGTAGGGTGTCAGGAAGTAATGGGCTGCCATCAGAGTTGTGAAATTCTGGGGATTTCAAGGGCTAGGCAAGGGTCTCCTGTTGAAGACCATATATCAGTCCTCCCCATCCCTCCTGCAGATGCAGGCTAGGAAAGAACCGGCAAATCCGGCTACCATTCTGAAATGTTGGCGGAAAGACTTTCTGTTAGAGTACATTTGATCATGGGGGGAGGGGGGACGGGGAGTCTCTCTGGATGGTAGTGTTCACTGTCCTAAGAAATCAGAGTGGGAGATGGGCACAGCCAAAACTGAGCAGAAGACTGTGTGTGTGTGTGGAGGGGGCGTTGGACTTCTGAACAACACATGTAGGACTTTGCTGTGCTGGGAAGCTCACCTATTTTTCTTTTCTTTCTTTAAAAAAATTTTTTTTAAACATTTATTTATTTTTGAGAGGCAGAGAGAGATAGAGCAGGAGCGGGAAGGGTCAGAGAGAGAAGGAGACACAGAATCCGAAGCAGATTCCAGGCTTCGAGCTGTCAGCACAGAGCCCAACGTAAGGCTCAAACCCACGAACTGTGAGATCATGACCTGAGCCGCACTCAACCGACTGAGCCACCCAGGGAGGTGCCCCTCACCTGTTTTTCGGTGTAGCATACCTGCCAGTCCAAGCTCAATTGGGACTAGTCCAACTGACAAGCTAGTCCGGACTCCTGAGGCCTGAAAAGGAGAAGTAAAAGGAAGAAGAGAGCTTTTCTGTACATGATGTTGACACTGAACAGTGAAGGAAAGTCCCAGGAAAAACCTAGTGGTTGATGGTGCCACTTTTGCAACTTAAACGTGGCAAGAAGGCGAGACTGCATCGGAAATTGCTATTGATGAAGTCATCCATCAAGTCCTTCCCGAAGGCCTGTTGTGTGCTCCATGGTCTTCTAGGTCTTCGTGATGCACTCACAGGCGAAGCAGGCCCGGAACAGAACGGGTGGAGCTTACACTCTATTGAGAAAAGGGAGGTGTTTGCGAGACTATGAGATTTTCTCCAGGAAATGGCAAGCCTCGGAACACAGTTAACCCTTAGAAATTGGTGAGGAATTTCTAAGTAATTTTTTAAAAATTGTTTGTTTATTTATTTATTTTGAGAAAGGGCACGAGCAGGGGAAGGGTAGAGAAAGAGGGGGGAGAATCACAAGCAGGCTCCATGCTCGGCACAGAACCCAATGCGGGCCCGATCCCGCGACTGAGAGGTCATGACCTGAGCCAATATCAAAGGTCCGATGCTTACCTGACTGAACCATCCAGGCACCCCGAGAAACTTCTCGGTAATTTTTAAATTTTTTTCTTTTTTCTAGGAGAGAGGAGAGACAGTGTGAGCAGGGGAGGGTCAGAGAGAGAGGGAGTCACAGACTGAAACAGGCTCCAGGCTCTGAGCTAGCTGTCAGCACAGAGCCGGACACGGGGCTCGAACCCAGGAACCGCAAGATCATGACCTGAGCGAAAGTCGGACGCTTAACCGACTAAGCCACCCAGGCGCCCCACTTCTGGGTAATTTTTAAATTAATAGATGGGATTTTTCCCCCCCTAGAAAACTGGCAACAGGGGCACCTGAGTGGCTTAGTCAGTTAAGCATCCGACTTCAACTCAGGTCATGATCTCACAGTTTTTGAATTTGAGCCCCACATGTGACTCTGGGCTGACAGTGCAACCGTGCTTGGGATTCTCCCTCTCTCTGTGCCCCTCCACCACTTGCATTTTTTTCTCTCTCTCTCTCTCTCTCTCAAAATAAATAAATAAACTTTAAAGGAAAAAAACCTCACCATTTTAAATGTGAAATCATGAAAAACATTCATCTCTCTTTTCCATTTTTCCTATTTCTTGCTGATAGTTATCACACACCTTCACTGTGATTACATGTGAATAACAGAGAGGTGTATTTGTTTCAAGACTTAAGCCTTGAGGGGCACCTGGGTGGCTCATTCGGTTTGGGAGAGAGACAGAGACAGAGTGTGAGTGGGGGAGGGGCAGAGAGAGAGGGAAACAGAATCCCAAGCAGGTTCCAGGCTCTGAGCTGTCAGCATGGAGCTCGATGTGGGGCTCGAACTCACGAACCATGAGATCATGACCTAAGCTGAAGTCAGATGCTTAACTGACTGAGCCACCCAGGTGCCCCATTTTTTTTTAAGTAATCTCTACATCCAACATGGGGCTGGAACATCATGCCAGATGTCAAGAGTCACACTCTCTACTGACCGAGCCAGCCAGGTGCCCCCCATTTGTTCTAAGGTAGCTCTTAGGGTTGGGTTGGGGTTGTGCTATTCTATGGGACTAATAAGAAAATGCAACCTACTACAATTTTTTTCACTGTACATTGAATTTAGGTAACTTGCAACAATATTGGGTTATTGCCATAAGTATTTAAACAAGCTCAAAAGTCTCTTTTGTTAAAAAAAAATTGTCTCTTAAACACACATCTCCCCCCTAAGCACCATAACACTTTCTCCTTGTAATGCCCAGCTCCTGGGAGTGGTTTCCGCTTAGTCCTCTCCTTCGCAGCCTCCATCATATGTTCTCAATCTTTGTTCAATAAATGTAAGTGCAAACGGCGACATCGTGACCTGAGCCGAAGTTGGACTATCAACCCACTGAGCCACTGGGCGCCCCACTTATATTCCTTTTAATGCAAAATTTCTCAGACCTATTGTATTTGGGCGGCTGTCAAAGTTTATTTACTCCTTTGGTGAGGAATCTCACAAGGAGATAACAGACTCTACCCATTTGCGGTGATTTGGGAAATAAGAAGGTTTATATACTTTAAGTAAGCTTCCCCACTGTGTCCAGATTATTATTGACTGCTGCTGTTTTATCTTTTATAGTCATAAAAACATCATGTTTTTATTACTTGACGTGAATTAAATGTAGGACACAGGCTGGAACTATCTTCCCAGAAATACCATTAGCAGAAATATTAAGGAATGGATCTGAGAAGAAAGCCTCAAGCAAATTGATCGGTGGGTATTTGTCAGTTCCAAGCAGAAAAAGGTTTGCTCCCCTGCCCAGCTTCTTATTTTAGCACAAAGACACCAACACAGTGCCAAGGAGAATTCTGTTCATGGAGTTCCAGAACCTTCCTTTTTTCTCAAACAATCCTCTGTAAGTCGTCTCAGCATTCAGTATAAAACGCAGAACCACCATTTGCTCCTTTCTCAGTCCAAGGACAAGCATTTTCTTTCTCAGTTCTGGTTGTTCAAAAACTCTCTTTGATTTTATTTATTTATTTATTTATTTATTTATTTATTTATTTATTTAGGTTTATTTTTGAGACAGAGAAAGACAGAGCACGAGCAAGGGAGAGGCAGAGAGAGAGAGAGGGAGGAAGACACAGAATCTGAATGAGGTTCCAGGCTCTGAGCTGCCAGCGCAGAGCCCGATGCAGGGCTCCAACCCACGGACCGCGAGATCATGACCTGAGCCGAAGATGGACACTTAGCCAACTGAGCGCCCTGGGTGCCCCTGATTTTAATTTTTTCATGTTGTCCGGTTTTGAGTTTCTCAGAACTGCTTCTTTTTCTGGGTTCAGCTTGGAGATGCAGGTCTTCCTAACAACAACTTGTCAGTGGAAAGAATCTTGGAAATAGAAGAAAATATTCTTCTTCCCCTGAAACTACAGGAGAGGCCGCTATAGTTTGACATCATAAAACTGTCCTTGCTTGAAACATCCCTGCTCCTTTCTAAGGCCAGTGCCTCCTGCTTGGTGCTTGATTGCATCATCTTGGACTGCTCACAGCTATTACTCCGGGAATTCTTACTGCTCTCTGTTGCATCTTCACTCTTTCTCTCTGTACTTGATCTTTCCTGTCAAGTCAAGCACGCAAACACACTACTAACACAGAATTCTAGACCCATCTGGGGATATCTGATAGATCATTAAAGCTCCTTAACCTGTCTTTAAAGAACATCCCAGTTGGTTCTAGAAGACAAAATAATTGAAATTCCTGTTGTTGTTGTTTATTTATTTGAGAGAGAGAGAGAGTGGGAGTGAGGGGCAGAGAGAAAGGAAGACAGAATCCCTTTCAGCTGTGTTGTCAGCACACAGCCCGACGCGGGCCTTCAACCCACAAACCGTGAGATCGTGACCTAAGTTGAAACCAAGAGTCAGATGCTTAACTGACTGAGCTACCCAGGCACCCCAAGAATTGAAATTTTGATGTAACCGTGTTCACAAGAGACTCAGTCTCAAAATTGGGACCCACCCAATAGCTACTGAAGCAGAATCTGCATTTTAGCAAGATCCCTACATGCCAACAAAAGTCTGAGAAGCCCATGGGGCACCTGGGTGGCTTAGTTGGTTAAGCATCCAACCTCAGCTCAGGTCATCTCACAGTTCATGAGTTCGAGCCTTGTGTCCAGCTCTGGGCTGACAGCTCAGAGCCTGGAGTCTGCCTCACATTCTGTGTCTCCCTCTCTCTCTCCTCCTCCCCCATTTGCACTCTGTCTCTAGCCCCCTCTCGAAAATAAAAATAAACATCAAAAATAATTTTTTTTCAAAGTTGGAAAAGCCCCAAACTAGACCAGTGGCTCTCAACACTGGAATCACTTGAGGAGCTTTAAGAAATCCTGATGTCCAGGGCACACCCCAAACCAATTAAATCACATTCTCTGTGGGAGTAGGTGGAGTCTACGGGTCAATATATTTTTTAAGTAGGCTTGACGATGCCCAAGGTGGGCTTGAACTCACAACTCCAAGATCAGGAGTTGCATGCTCTACCAACTGAGCCAGCCAAACACCCCAAGGAGCCCATATTTTTTAAAGTTTGACCAATGTGTAGCCAAATCTGAGAACCATTGGAGTAGGCAGCATCTTCTTTTTCCTGTGTGGTTGACTATCAGTGCAATGTCTTTTAGAGAAAGAGGAACGAAGTCATAGTAATTCCAAGAAAAGATAGAGACCTTTGTTGATATGTTAAATGATATTTCTGGAGATTGGCCCAGAGGATGGCCAACAAGATTCAATCTCAAAAATGAGAAGCTGAAAAACTAAACAAAATGAACTGCTATATACTGTCATAAAACCTAAGTATACAATAAGAAAGATCTTTCCAGGGAAACAGATGACCAGATGACGGCGGGGAGGGTGGGGAGAAGAAAAGGATCTCAGAGTAGCTGGTGGGTTGCAGATGGGAATAAGTACCTATCTCCTAGGGTGGTTTGCAAAGGTTAATAGATGACTATTCTGCCTATGTCTGGTTGCCCAAGAAATGGAGTGTTTCATAGAAGCTGCAGGATACCAGTGATTTTTTAATAACTATTCTAGTTACTGCTTTTTTTTTAATTTTTAGAAAATGTTTATTCATTTTTGAGAGAGAGAGAGTGCTTGTGAGCAGGGAAAGGGCACAGAGAGAGAGACATGGAATCCAAACCAGGCTTCAGGCTCTGAGCTGCCAGCACAGAGCCCGATTTGGGACCCGAACCCACGAACCATGAGATCAGGACCTGAGCCGAAGTCAGACACTTAACCGACTGAGCCACCCAGACGCCCTTCTAGTTACTGCTTCTAACTCATCTGAAATACTAGTTTTAGTGAGCCAGGAAAGAATGAAAAATGAGACTACTCTTCCATCTTGAAGAAGATTGGTTGTGTCTTAGAGCTTGGTCTTGCTTAGAATCCTTGGTCCAGCAGCTCCACCACCCTACCCAGTATCCAGTCTAACACCATGCATGGCATT